GCATGGGTGTGCATGGGTGTGGTTTGTGTGTGCAATGCTAAATCCCAAGTGGATGGATGAAGGGCAGTAACATGCTAAGCTGTATCCTCCCCTGCCAATCTTCATCCTCGTTATTGGCAGGTCGAGCTACTGCCTATGGAGGGCGAGCAGGCAACAGCATACAATGAGCTGTGGAGCAGTACAGAAGGGCAGTGGCGGCAAGAGCGGGAGTGGGGAGGAGATAGAGAGGGGAAGTCGAAAGAAGAGGGAGAGGGGGGAGGGGAAAGGGGAGGGCGGCACGGCTGCTGTGGCAGCGGCGGTGGATGCGATGCCGAGGAGACAGCTGGCGAGCATCTTCACCCACCTGAGGAAGGTATGACTGGTGGAGGTACAGCTGGTGGAGTACAAATGGTGGAGGTACAAGTGGTGGAGGTACAACTGGTGGAGGTACAGCTGGTGGAGGTACAGCTGGTGGAGGTACAACTGGTGGAGGTACAACTGGGTGGAGGTACAACTGGTGGAGGTACAACTGGTGGAGGTTACAGTGGTGGAGTGGTTGAGTGGGTGGGGGTTGGGGTGGTGGAAGGGGGGTGTGCCTTCATTATTGGTGCGGCTGCTTTTGGGTGTGATCCTAAACCCTAAGCACTGGATGAAGATGGCCAGGGTGCTGCCACAAGAGGGGCGTGTTTGGGTTTTTATAAAAAATCGTTTTTTTCTCTCTCTCTCTCTCTTCCTTTCTTTCTTTCTTTCTTTCTTTCTTCTTCTTTCTTTCTTTCTTTCTTTTCTTTCTTTTTTTTTTACAATTTCGTTTTTCTAGATTTCTCATAAAAACACGGCAGTGGACGAGATGGCTGCGATGCTACACAAGAGAGGCGTGTTTGGGGAGGGAGTGCACGCAGTAGCGCGTGGAGGAGGAGGAGCTACGAGGCCATGATGTTGCAGAGTGGTTTTGAGAATTCTCAAGAACACGCAGTAGCGCGTGGAGGAGGGAGGAGCTACGAGGCCACAGCGACTTCCCCGTTTTTTCCCTTCCCCTGTGCAGGTTCCTATTTTCCATGGCCAATCCCCCATGTGTCCCATCCCCATTTCCGCTTTTCCCCCCACAGCTCGCCCAACAACCCTCTCTTGGTGCGCCGCTGTTCTCCGACGAAGCAGTGGATGAGATGTCAGCTGTGCTGCACGGGAGGGGCGTGTTTCCCCTCATGCCCTTCCCCGTCCCTATCCCTCTCCCTCCGTCTCCCCCACACAGCTCGCCAACCACCCTCTCTTGGTGCGCCGCCTCTTCTCCGACGCAGCAGTGGGGACGAGATGGCGGTTGTGCTGCATGGGAGGGGGCGTTTTTTGGCGGGGAGTGCACGTGGCAGCGCGTGGAGGAGGAGCTACGAGGCTACAGTGACTTCACGCTCAACCAGCTGTGTGCCGCACACAGCGACGCACTCTCGCACTTCCTGCTCTCACGGGAACAATTCTTCCACTCCTGCAAGTGCCAGGTTGGGTGTGGGGAAGGATATTGTTGCATGGAAGGAAAAGGTGGGTTGGGGGAGGAGCTGAGGGGCTACCAGCGACTTCCCGCTCAACCAGCTGTGTGCCGCCCACAGCGACGCACTCTCGCACTTCCTGCTCTCACGGGATCAGTTCTTCCACTCCTGCAAGTGCCAGGTGGTGTGGTTGGGGATGCCAGGTGGGGCTGGTATGGATGGGGTGCGAGGGCAAGGAACAATTGGTGAGGTTTATTTTGGGTTTACTTTTGAGAATTCTCAAAGAACTCAACTTCTTGGGGGTGTCTCGCAGGACTCCCTCTCACGCTTCCTGCCCTACCGGGATCACTTCTTTCACTCGTGCAAGTGCCAGATGGGGCTGCTTTGAGTGAGAGGGGGCAGTGGCTAACTGGTGAGGTTTCGTTTGGGGGAGTGGGAGAGGGGGGAAGAGGGGAACGCTTGGAACGCTTTGCTCACCACTGCAAGTGCCATGTGGGGCTGCTGTGGGATGCGAGGGGAGGGGACAACGCAGGTGAAAAATTTCTCGAGTCCTGGTGAAAATTCAGATGTGACGGAAGTGTGATGGACTTCTCTGCCTCCTCTTCTGCCTAGTCCATTCGTCCTCCTCATTTCACCCTCCGCACCGCATTGGATTGGATGCAAACCAATATCTCTCTAACCTAACCTCCTTTCTTTTCTTCTGCCCCTCTCCTCTCACAGGCTCTCTCAACGCTCCTTCCCCAGCTGAAATCCGACGGTCACCGTGTGCTGCTGTTCAGCCAATGGACGGCTGTGCTTGACATTCTGCAACACGTGATGGGCTGCTCGGATTGACCTTCCTTAGACTGGATGGCAGGTGAGTCGTTTGTGAGAATCATAAGGGGGAGGCGTACTGGTGGTAGGAATGAGTGGGCGGGGGCGCAGAGGCAAGCCCTGGGGACGAGTGCAAGCAGGACCGCTCGGTGTTGGCCACACCACTCCATGCCAGTACCATGCCAGTACCATGCCAGTACCATGCCAGTGCCATGCCATCACTCCCTCCCCTTCCGTCCCACCCATTCCTCCTCCCCTCCCCCAACCCCCCCACAACCAGCGCGCAGGTGGTGCAGAGTTTTTGAGACGTCTCAAAACTTCACTTTCTACACGCAGGTGGTACAGAGGCAGGCCCTCATGGGCGAGTTCAATTGGGACCCTCGGTGTTTGCCACTCCATGCTGCTTGCCACCATGACACGCTCTTCCCGACTCCTCTTATGCCGTATCCTTTTTGCTCACACATCAGCACGCAGGTGGTACAGAGGCAAGCCCTGGTGGATGAGTTCAATCGGGACCCCTCGGTGTTTGCGATGCTGCTTTCCACCCGGGCAGGCGGGCAAGGTTTGAACCTGACCGGGGCAGACACGGTGATTCTGCACGACGTGGATTTTAACCCCCAGATGGACCGGCAGGCGGAGGACAGGTGCCACCGGATAGGCCAGACTCGACCTGTAACTGTCGTGCGGTGAGCTGTAGCCATCATTTGGTGAGTTGTAACCGTCGTGCAGGGAGTTGTGACGATGAAACTGAACGTTGTTCTCATTTCCAGCATTGTGGTGTGAGTGGTACAGTAACTTGCAGTTACTCGTTGATGTTTCTCTGGCCCTTTTTTGCCTATTTTGGTCATGCTGTGTTATGTTAGATTTAATATATTTAGCTCTGTGCCTCGTCCTTCCCCCACGGTTCCAGGCTTGTGGCACGTGCCACAGTGATGAGGGCATTTTGAATATTGCCCAGCGGAAGCTCAGCTTGGATGCTGCTTTGCTAAGCGGTGGTGGTGAAGGGGAAGTTCGAACGGGAAGGGGTCTGATAAGGGAAAAGGAGGCTCAGAGGAAGCTCAGAGCATGGCTGCTATTTTGTCATCAATTCTTGCTTCGAAGTCCTGAATTCTGATCCTTATCCAGCTATAATTGCATCCTACATTTTTGTATGCTCAGTGAAGAGTGTTCTCGAAAGCAAGTATCGTCAGAGAACCAGACCAAATGATTCCCACTGTGCTTCTTTATGTCCAGAATAAGATCCACCAAGATTGGCATATATTGTAAGGAATTTGCCAATTCCTTACTGTAGCCTTGCCTTAACGGGAACAGCCCGAGCACTTCGCGTCAGGTGGCTCAGCCTACATTTCCGCACCGAACTGTCAAGATATGTAGCTAGGGTGTAGCCTTAGGAGCCATGTTGGGGGTGGAGTGTGAGAGAGTTGCAATGAAAAGAGGACTTCACTATAGAGCTAAGGGTACAAATATGATAGGAAAGGGGGTAATCCACCAAACAGAATGTGATAACTACACTACTGCTATATCTACATGCAGTTACAATAATATAACTCTGACATCCCCCCTTAACTGCATGCAGGAATAGCAAAGCATAAATCACAACCCGCAAGTGTACTGAAAGCATTAGCACGCAAGAGCAATGACAACCTGTGCAGGCAGTGGGCAGAAACAACAGCAGAAACCCCTTAGCCAATACAAAAACGAAAGAAAGGTGCATGTGGCGCAGGTCGCCTGGAGAGCGGCGTGCGGCGGCAACAAGCGGCGGCACAGCAGGCTCAACGGCAGCACCTGCCGCTCAACAGCAGCAAACGAAAGAGACGAATTAAGTGGCAACAGGGGCTGCAGCTGGAGGTGCCACAGGCAGGGGGTGGCAGTTGCAAATGCAGGGCTGCTGCTTCTGCACACTCTCTCTCATACCCTCCTTTATCCCCCCTTACCCTCTCTCCCCCCCCCCCCTCAGCAACAATTGCTGCAGGGAGAGAGGAAGAGGGAAGGGAGGGAGGAGCGGCAGGCTCCTCACACCCGCCCCCCCCCCAACCCCCCCCCCCACGATGGAAGGGAAGGGCGGAATCACCCACTGCCGGCGCTGGCGGTCGCGTTGGCGCTAGCGCTGGCGGCCGTCGCAGCTGCTGGCGGTGGCGCTGGCGGTCCGCGCAGGCGCTGGCGCTCGCGGCTGGCTGCAGCGTTGGCGCTCGCGGCTGGCCGTGGCGCTGGCGTCCGCGCTGGCGAAGGCGGATCGCGGGGCGACGGGGGGAGCGTGACGGACGAAAAGGGCGCACGGGCGCGACGCGAAACGAAGGGCCTGCAGAAAGCGAAAAAACGGGACCCGCGGGGTTCGTCCACGGGGCGATTCGGGGGACCCGCGGGGCGCATTACGGGCGGCACGACGGGTGGGCCATGATCATTAAAAAAAAAAAAAAAATAGGTCCTCAGGAGGGATTCCTGCTCTGTACCATGTCAAGATATGTAGCTAGGGTGTAGCCTTAGGAGCCATGTTGGGGGTGGAGTGTGAGAGAGTTGGCAATGAAAAGAGGACTTCACTATAGAGCTAAGGGTACAAATATGATAGAAAGGGGGTAATCCACCAAACAGAATGTGATAACTACACTACTGCTATATCTACATGCAGTTACAATAATATAACTCTGACACGAACCAATACCGAGTCGCCCCGCACCAATCGCGACACATCCAAACCATCCACGTCCCGAGGTCCTCGCCTAGCACGGTTTCGACCCTAAAAATGCGTGCTCCTTTATCATTGTTGGGGATTCAGTAATTCTGTATTCGACATCCTTATTTAAAGGCTTCCGCGCACTCTGTCTATTAAAACTCATAACACTTGGTATCAGAGCTACTTTCCTAGCTTCCCCGTTTTTTAGAGTGTAATACCCCTCGGGGGGGGGACAGGGAAGGATGCCGTGGTGACAGGGGCAGCGCAAGAGCCGGCCAGGAGAACGGGTAGTTGCTCCTAGCGGCCATGAATTCCAAGGCGCTCCTGCGGCACCGACGGATCCTTGCCCTCGACGGTCGAGATGGACCGTGGCCTCCCTCCCCCCGGGTGGCGAACAGCTTTTGCTGTCGTCGCAATTAATGCGTGAGTAACAGTAGTCGTTTTCGGCAATTTCGGAGTTAATGCTGTGTAGCGGCTTGACGTCGGCAGGCTCGTCGTCGGCGCACGTCCGAAGTTGTCGGAAGCAAGGATCGTCGTGCGAGTTGTGTCTACACGTGGTCGACAGCTGCGCGCGACAATTACGGAGCTAGCTGCGGGCGGCAAGGTGGCGATGGGTGTCTTCGTCACGTTGCGCACGAGCTAGTGGAAGTCTTCGGCAAGTGGCGCGTCGTCACTGTGCGCGAAGATTTCGGGTAGCAGCACGTGGAAAACGACTGCTTGTCGAGCAGCCAGGCGCAATGTGTGATTTGCGTCGGAAAAACCGACGGCGAGGAGAGGCGGCGTGGCGACTTCCCGAAGAAAGCGGGGGTCTACCGTCGTCCCGCCCGGGTGCGGCAGGTGTTGCTGCAGGAGGGTGCGTCGTGGGCGTTTTTCGGCAGAGCGGCACAGTGTGGGACGGAAGTTGTTCTTCAAACCACCGAAAAGTTCGGAAAAGGCCGCCTACGACCAGACTGTTCCGGCTTGGGTGACTACTGTTTCTGGCACAATCATAATCGGCGAAAAATTTCGGAGCAACAGTGGCAGCCGATTCTGCACTTCACGCGGCACAGTTCCCTCCGGCCAGAGGTACCTGTGTTTGCAGACAACCCAGTACACCACGGAACAACGATTCGGCGCAGCGTTTAGACCCGCGATTTTCGGGGGCTCTACCGGCTACAATAAACGGAGTTGCGACTAATACGGGTCCGGCGAGAGAAACGGGTTCCGACTTCAGGAGGCGAGAAAAACGACCTACAGCGACGACTTTTGCTAAGGCCGAGTCTCACGGCTAAGCGGCGGTAGCAGAAGGAGCTCCCTACCGGCCAAGTCTACCGACGTTTCACATACCTTACACCAGAAAAGCCTCGAAGGCAATTCGTAACTCCTGTTGGCTACTGGATAAAAAGGTGGGGCCCTGTGTTTTAGCCCTGTGCTGGTTAGAAGGCGTGGGTGGCGCTGGTTCGACGGCAGGGCGTACAAGAAAACAGTTTGTGGTGCGACACTGTTCGGCCCATGACAAAAACGGACCATCGGCGACAGTTACCCTGCCGAAAAAGTCGGGATTGAGGAAATTGTGGCAGCTGTCGGTGTTTCTCCTGATTCAACGGTCTACCCAACGGCGGTGTAGCAGCGGAGATGGAGTTCCCGAAGCTGTGGAGTCTTTAGTGCGATAGGCATGGTGGGTAGCGAAGCGGGCCGGGCGGGGCGTTTGATACGATAAACTCACCCCGGCTACGATTGTGTTCGCGCCTTCATTGAACGCCAGAAAAAATCGCGGGTCAACACGAAGAATGTCTCATCCGACATAAGCGGACGTTGGGTGAACGGCGGCATGCGAAATCGTCAGGGGGCGAAAGGCAAAACAAAAAAGGAGGGAAAGTTGTGGGTGCTGTTTCAAGCTACCTGAGTGATAGGCGGAGCTCGTATACCACTCCACTGCGAATTTCAGAGTTTATTTGGTAGACCTTCGAAAGGGTTTGATATCGTTACATGGAGGGCGCGACGAGGGGTGTATTGCCAAGGATGCCTGGGATTTGCTAAGTATTTTCGACAGGTACGAAGATGGGTAAACGTCGGAGTACCAGGGCTAACGGCGGAAATGTCGGGGCTACAAGGCAGAAAATACTTCGGGGCTTGATTCCTCAACCATGATTTTCGGGTGCAACTTCGACGGTGGGAGGACGGGTGAACGTCTGCTCGCCAGCTGTTTTAAGCGTTTTCTTGGTGTACTTCGAAGCAGTCTGGGGGAGTTCTGCTGCGAGATCTGCGGCGTTGATGCGCGCTAGGGTCCGTGAAAATCGGCCTCGGAAGGACCCATACGTACTGGGTTCCACGCCTAAAAAGCACCTCCTGTTGGTGGGTCGCTTGGGTGGTTAACCGCACGAAAAAAATGGTGATCGGGTGGGCGCGATAGAAACACCGGTTCTTTCGGGGGACAACCTGCAGACGACCAAGACTTTACGTGGTGTGGTTATTTCCGACATTTGCGGGTGGACTCAGCAGTTCCGAGAATGAGTCTTAACGGAGTCCGCGGGGGTCGCTAACAATATCCGTGCCGGCGGCGGAGTTGCAGCGGTGCTTGATTAAGCACGCGAAGGCACTCGTCGTCAAATGTGTAGCCGTACAAATCGGAAGCTGCTCGGGGGAACCAGTGACAACAATTAAGAAGTGTTGCTACATAAGGGGGAAGAGCAGCAGCTGTTTTTCGCCTCTGCCCGGTACTTCTCGGCGGAATATCGACAAAAAGCCTCGGCGAGTCTGGACAAGACTGCCAGGGGCGCCGACAACTGGAGCACCAACAAGGAGAATTTTGCCACAGCAACAAGACAAACTGAAGATACTGCGGCAGCAGGGTGATTCGTGTCAGTAGAGCTACACTGTGAGATCCCCGATCGATCCTAGGGGGGGGTTACAGGCGCGTTTGCCTGGGGGGTTATGGGCGCACTGACCCGCTACTGAAACAAGCCCTTTTATCCCAATGGTCTAGTGGTTGGGATTCTGACATGGTATCAGAGCGGTCTCGGGTTCGAATCCCGGTGTA